TCAGAGTTAAGAAAATATTATTCTGGCAAGTGGCAAATTATAGGCAGTTATTGCATAATTTCAGAGTGAAGTGAGCAGTTATTTGCCCAGAGGGAACATGAAGTAGCCATGAAGGAAAATGACCCCATGTATCTTGAAATTAAACAGTAAGAAACTGTGACAATTAGGGTGCCTCAGTATCATAAATCTGTCTCTTTTTCTTAATTTCAAATAGAACAGTTATGGAAGGGAAGCATTTGTATAAAGGAAGGTGTTCAACTCTAAAATTTACCCTCAAATTAGCTGTTGTCATGCACTCACAAGTAGCCTTGTGAAGCATCAGAAATGTTGCTGTATCAAGAAAGTTGAGATTATTTTCAAAGACATGATCATTAAAAAAAGTGGCATTAATGGAGAGGGGAAAGCAGTAACAGGATTATCTATTTATAGAGGTTTCAGGCTATCTGTCTATATATACACTGGATATTTTTCTTCCTTTGTGGTAATAAAAAAAGTCAAAACAGGCAATTTTCTAGACAAGTAAATGAATAGGTATAATGGTTTGTGACATTTTAAAAATATAAATGAACACACAAAATGTCCTATTTCATAGTAGCATGATCTTAACACATATGAGTTCTGTCAACAGAGAGATTAAACAAAAATAACATCAGAAATACACAAATTTTAAAAAAGAAATTTTAAATACTGTCCACAGTACACCACTCATGCTTAGGCTCTGTGTGTTTCCTATATACCAGTATGCTTTTTGCAAGAACAGATTGTAAATGTAAGAAGCAGAATCTCTCCGAGAAGATAATTTCCACATATAATGCACCTTATCGTTTTCTATCTTTCTGCTACTCGTTCATGTTCATTTTATTGATTCTTTTAAATCAAATTGATCTGCTTTCAGTTAACCACGCATCCAGTCCTGTTGGTATTTCCTACTACTCAGCTTTTCATAGATTCCTGAGTTCTGTTCAACTTGCTCTTCTTTTTATAAATGAAGTAGCTATATCTCCAACTAAGCCTCTGGAACACTTATTCGGGTAGATGAAGTTGATAAATTGTCTTGAATGTAAATTATGAGTCACATAAGGGACAAAGGCTATATTTCTATACCTTTTGTATCCTACACTGTGCACATGGCTTACGCATGTTCATAGATTTGGCACATTTGACAATAGTACTCCAGGTCTGCATAATGGAAAGTATTCCTTCAGGATAGGGAGAACAGTGAGAAGAGGCCATTTTTCTACATGTCCTCATATGGTCAATGTATTAAGAAGAAGAACTGACTAAGGAAAATGTCAGGCTGCATACATATTACTTTGTCACTGCAATGGGAAATAAATATGTTTCAGACAGAGTTCTAGAGAGGCCCTTCTGTCTTTGGCTGTGAAGGAGTTGAGGCAAGTTGCTTTGAGTATGGGACACCATACCACTGAGTCTTCATAGCAACACAATTTTAGTAATGATGGAGAAATGATGGAGAAAACCCATGAAAACCTTAGTTTACCTTAGCCCATTTTGTGCTGCTATAACAGAATACCATAGACAGAGTAATTTATACACAATAGAAGTGTATTTGGCTCACAGGTCTGGAGGCTGCAAAGTCCCAGATAGAGGGGCTGCAACTGGTGAGGTCCTTCTTGTTGCCTCATTGTGTGGCGAAAGCATCATGTGGATGAGAGTGAGTTTGGGTGAGAAAGCAAGAGATCTAACTTAGAGCCTTAAACCCTTTTATGGTCGACCTTGATCCATTCATGAGGGTGAAACTCATGACCTAAACACCTTGTATTAGGCTCCACCTCCCAACACTGTTGCATTGGAGTTTAAGTTTCCAACATATATATTCAAACCATAATCTTCCTGGGGGACTGCGACTCATCATCCAGTCTCCAGTCCTGGAAGTAGAGACAGCCCTTCTGACAGTCCGGACTTAACGTGCTGAAAAGCTGTAAATATCAGGTTTCTGAGCATAACTCTATCCCACCTTTGTATTTTACTCTGTACTTTTTTCAAATTAGGCTTCCCTCTGCTTTCCACACATGCCGTGGGATTTCATGCCACCAGGCTTTGCTTAAGTTTTTCTCTGCCCTGCCCACATATCTACCTATCTAATTTCTTCCCTTTCTTCAAAGCTTCCTGAAGCCTTTCTTAATCCTCTATGCAGAAATTATCCCCTCCTCTTATGCCACAATAGCAGTTTGTTTTCACTTTTCTTGTGACATTTTAAAAATCTGATTTATATAATCAAATTGTGTGCTTATGCCTCATCTCTCAAACAGTAGACTATTAGCAAATTGAGGGACAGGATCAATAGCTGTATCACCTTTGTATATACACAAGTATCAATGGTTTGTCCATTTATCTCTTCCTTTCACGCCAATTCTTTCTCTCTCTCTCTCTCTCTCTCTCTCTCTCTCACACACACACACACACACACACACACCCTCTTTCTCTCTCTCACACATACACACACACAAAGAAATTTGGTCATATATAATACAAACCTCTAATGAGAAATTTCATTAATGTCTAATAGACTATTGCTACCCTCTCTTTGCCCTGCCCTCATTCTAAGAAGATTTAATGCCAAAATTACCTCACAGGTTACCAATCAAATTCAGGCATGGTTTAACCAATTGTCTGAGAAAAAAGTCATTTGACTTCTAATAATAGAGAGGAGAATCCCACTGTCATTATTTCCCTGGTTATGAAAGGGGTGTGTGTGTGTGTGTGTGTGTGTGTGTGTGTGTGTGTGTGTGTGTATGTGCGCGTGCGTGTGAGATAGACACTTGGTCACTCCTGGCATTAGATTAAAACATTGTAGAATTTTTGAAGAGGCTATTTGGCACAGATAATATATTTTCATCTGTTTTCTGTGATTGTATGTATGTGCATGTGTGTACAACTGTCCCTTGCTATCTGCAGAGGGGTTGATCCCAGAATCTCCACAAATCCTTTCATGCTCAAGGATGGTAATTGCATATAACCTTTGTACAGTCTATTGTATACTTTAAATCACCTCTAGATTATATATACAATGCGGATGCTATGTAAATAGTTGGCACTGTATTGTTTTTTATTTGGACTATTTTAATTGTTATATTGTTTTATTTCATTAAAAATATTTTTTCATCCGTGGTTGGTTGAATTCGAGAATGCAGAACTGTGACTACAGAAGGCCGACTGTATAGCATTTCTTGATCTCCTAGAGAATTAAAAAATGGTGTAAACTTATGAGTCATTGATTTCACACCTATAAATGTGCTGTTTCCACCTTTTCTTGTAAGCTGACCGTGAGCTTACTGCAGTGTGGTTTGTCCGTCCTCAAACTAGTAAAGGGTGTGAGGAGGGTACCTTGGCAAAATAACTTCCTGACTATGTTATCTAGTGTAAAACCAGGAGGGAAGAGGAAGTTCTCCAGTTGTGACGTGCTGAGAGGGTCATGGATAAAGTTCAGCCACCATGTGCACTGAGAGCTGCCTTTATCCCTGCCATCTTCCCACTAACCCCATCCCAGGATGCCAAGTAATTCTTCTTTATAAACCTCTCTGCCCAGGGAGGACACACTGCAGACAATCTCTCTCCTATGCATGTTAGTTTGTATCTATTTTTGCCCCTTGCCCTCCTTAAGGGCAATGAAATGTCCATTTCTACGTGGAATCCCCAAGCTCCACCACATTTCTATTCCCTCCTATTTCTGTGTCCTCACCGATAAGGAAAAAGTCAGGTAGTCCCTGAGTCTGAGACGAGGCAGTCGAGTACTCTAAGGAGCCCGAACAAAAGTGTAGATGAAAGGGCCCATTGTCAGTTCCAGCCGGTCGCGGTGACCCGGGGGGCGGACCTGCGTGGGCCCTGGGACCAGTGATTCTGCCTCTTACCTGCCTTGCTGCAGATTTGACATTAATCAGACAAACCTTCCCTGCCCTTCCAGGAGAAATAATGATAAGCTCCCCCCCTCCCCCAGGAGAGGATCGTTGGTTCTGGGCGCTCGCCACCCTTATCAACTCAATTTACACAGACACACACGCACACGCAGGCATGTGGGGTGGGAGAGACAGAGGGCCAGGGACGGACCCCCACCACTCATCCTGTGCATTTGCAGGACCCTACTTGCGGGGACCTGGCCAGCGCTGCGCGCTGGGGACCGAGGGGAGAACTCACTGAGGGTGGCTGGGAGAGACTTTACACCCCTAGAAGGGCACCGATGGCTGATGGCTGCTTTGGGCACAGCCTGCCCCACAGCGCGGCCCTCCCCAGTGTCTCCCCCTGAAGGCACCGCTCTCAATAGCAACGGGTCGAGATGTAAAAGCCAGCCCATTCCCCCCCCACCCTCGAGCCCCCGAGGAGTCGGGCGGGGTAGACAGACACTAGAGGACAATTGCGTCCCCTCTGCCGCGGCGCCCTAGAAAACGTGGGAAGGGGGCAGCGCGCAGGGTGCCA